ATGTTTTCCATCATAAATGTCTCTTCTTATGCCAGACAAATCGAATATATCCATCATTGTTCAGATTCTCTCTCTTCACAATTATCTCATTCTTTTGGTACTCTTTCTCTATTTTTCCGTTTTCTTTCTGTTACCTTCTCTTTCTTTCTCTCCTACTCTCGTTAATTTGCTATGCAGAAATGGATGTCCCTATTTCTCTCCATGATTTCCAATCTCCCAATACCACTTATCGTTATCCCATCATTTCACTCAAACCGCAAAGCAAATCTCCATAGCGTTTCCAATTTTCTGCAACCACATCCCGCTACATTCTCCCGCGTGTTCTCTCGCTGTACACACATACCCACTTCATCTCAGCGCACTATCAACTGTCCACAATCAAATGGGCAATGAAATCTCAATATTATACATGAAATAGCGTAGCTGGCGACCCTTGCAAACAATTCCGGAATGCAGGTTGTAATAAAAATATGAAGCCCGGATGGTATGCAGTGGTGCGTAAATATAAAATGCAACGGGAGCCGTAATGTGCCAGCACGGCGGCTGCAGCTATGTGCTTCGCTAATGAACTGGTGCGTCGGCCTTCGCTGCTGGCGTCGAACGCTCGCTCCACAATATAAATGGTCGGAGTTGCTCTCGACGCGCATCCTACGCAGTATGCAAGAACCAATTTTCGCCGTGGAACTTCGAGTTCGAAATGAACACCGTTCCCATCCAGAATCTGCATAATTTAACTGTTCTTAGAGAATTTAACTGTGGTATTGACATTTTGCATAATATTGCGGACTAGTTTGTAGCACGATGAAAAATGTGATCAGTGTTGTTCAAATTAATTTTGTCTTATGATGATTATTTTTAGTACAAAGTAGTTTAGAAATGTAGAAGTAGAATTTTAGTGTCCGGTTGCACAAATACTTTTGCTTAGTTGCTTCAACATAGACCCTACGTAATAATGCAAGTTCGTTCTTGCATAGAGTTTCTGCACAATCCAGTTTTTTGGTAATTTTTTCATTATTCTCAATAATTTCTGCTTCCAATATAATGATTAATAATATAGTTGAATGATGTAAGGAAGGGAAGGAAACCAGTTCCTAAATCAACTTTTAGCACGGACACAACGTGTGATTACACACACACACACACAGTTACCTTGTGTTGTTTGAGTACAATTTGAGTTTAATTACTCTCATGAGATATTGACATATTAGTATGAGGCAAACATGCTTATTATTATTCTTTTAACCATCAGAGCCCTAAGCAGAATTTAACTTTTAGAGTTCTGATGGAGTAAAATAGGGACCTCAATAATTTTTTAATATTATAACTATAGTTTCCTAGCATGAACTTTGCATGATTTTTCTAATATCTCCGTCATATATTTTCTACTAATTTCATGAATAATGAAGGGACAATGTTTGTATTTTATTTTATAGAAACTTCAAACGTGCTACTTATAAACAGTGATAAGCCTGTAATGTTGCCATTTTCGCATTTTCACGAAACATTTTTTCAAAGTGTACATCATTTTGTTAATAATGTACATTATGAGTTTATTTAACCTTCCTTTCTCAATATGACACATCGACATGCGACATGGCATATCGACATGCTACATGAAACATCTGACACATTGTCTCGGACGTGATTTTATCCTGCCGTGTTTTTGCATCTCTTGTTCGCTGTTTAGGGATTTCGAAGAACTGATCAATGGTTCCTTTCAGTAGCTTGCCTCTTCAAAAGAGGAGTTACCAATTATTCCGAGACCTTGCGCAAAAACTTTCATACGCTCTTCATTGATTAGTGATTCCAGGCTCGTCAACTCGAATGTTCATTAGCCCAGTAATGATAGTGCATGTAGTCGCCGTGTGAGGTGACTCTTATCATCGCCTGCCAGCTGGCGATATCCTGCGTTGACCTACATCGACATCGTGGCTCCGCCACAGCCGGAACTAGCTCTAAGCTCCTAACAAGTGTAGTCGTGTAGTGTCTGCAAGTATAAATTTTTGGAAGTAGGGGGTGAGAATAGGGCAAGGAAGAGCCAGGAAAGATCGCGCGGAGTCTGTGACTTTTTTTTACGACCAGCCTTCACTGGTATTCATCGGTGCCATCGCGGGAAATTGCCAATCAGAGCACCTACCACCGCCCACCAATCCCACCACCGCCGAGACTCGAACTCAGAACCCTCCGATCAGACGCACTGCAATGATGGTTGTGATGTTGATGCACTGATGATGCATGCGCATGTATTGATGATGTTGATGCGATGGGCCACCTTCGTCGGTTCGTCTGTTCTTAACTTTGCCTTTAGAACGCATCCACAAGACATAAGCATTCCTTGTTGCGGTGTTGAAGGTGAGACGCGCAGGCCACGTTCTAGTTGACATGCTGCAAGAGTACTAACGAATTATTTAATCTAGTAGATCAGCATCATAGCACAATAAGTGATGCAACATCGACAACAAAATATCGATGTTGCTATACATCAATGTTCAAAGTTACAACATCGATGTTAATAATTCATCGTCCAAAGTACGTTTAAAGCTGTTTCAGTGACATCTAAACATTATATTCGTGTCCAACAACATTTTACAGTGGCCGTGTATATTACTTTATAATTAAAATTCAATTAAAAACAATTTCAAAAGGCTTCTCGGTGTGCGAAGTATGAGGAAAGACGAAGGAAATGCCAGGATGACTGGATCAACTCAGGCTAGGGAGAGTCTGCTCGATGAAGGTAGTGCAAACAGCGTTCTTGTTGGTCGCACAAATAAAGTCAGTGATACTATCAGTTATTTCATTTTTTTTAAATTCTACAAAATTGAGATTATATAATTTTTTTCCTCAGAAAATTAAATATCGATAACGTAAAAACGTAGAACGTCGATATTAAAAAACGTAGACATCAATACATTGAGGTTGAAAACATAGATATTTTAATAGAAACATCGATGTTTTAAAAACGTGGGTTTCGATGTCGCATCCTTAGTCACAATTTTGATAATTTAATATATTGTTTTTCATTATCATTTTATTATCAGTTGTGCGGTACATTAGGTACAAATATTAAGCTAGAAAAATGTCACGCAGATAGTAACATGAACAGAAATAAAAATTACATGTCACTCCTTCAGTCACATATGATGCATTATTTTTACGATCAGTTAATGAATTGTCTCTCCGAAGACACACATTTAATGTAAATATTCTGTATGTTCTGTGATTGGTGAAAGGTCTTTGAAATGTTATAACAATTAGGTATCGGCAGGCTAATAACAGCAGTTTCACTGTCGATCACGGTAAATCTTTGTTCACTATCGTTAGATCAAAGTATAGTAGCCGTTAGAACTAGTAGTTTTTCGAAACCTTTTCAACTTGAGAGAATGTGTTATTGACCCAATTTCATAATTCCGTGGGCTGCATTACCACGTGAATTTACGAATCGCCATTTAAGGTTACAAGATTGGAAACTTTCAGGATTGGAATGTTCTAGGTTCGATTTTCGACACTAGATTATTTCCGTGAGGTGATTTTTGAGGTACTTTATACCTGAGAATTCTAACGACGTGCTTCTCAAAACGGTTATGTGCGTTTGAGCTTGGTCGTTTCGTTGCAGTAGTTCGCCCGAGTGCCTTCCAATCAAAGACGAATCTCAGGAGTAGCTTCAGAAATGGTCCTCGGAATGCGCGTGATTCTTCGTCCTCCATCATCTCCTCACTTTCAAACCGGCAGAAGTGGCTCAGGGCATCTACTGATGGCACTGCATTCCCTCTGGCCGGGAAGTCCTAGGTCAGAGTCCCGACGGCGGCCGGATTTTCGACTCTAGCTTGTCAGCTAGATTCGATTCAATCGCTGTGTGGAGGAGAATTGTAGCGGCCTCCTGTTCTGATCGGTAGTATTCCATGGTTTCTCCGTTCAACTCCAGGCGAATGCCGCAGCAGTACCCTAACAGACAGGTCGCGGCGCGCGATCATTCCTTCCCATTTCTTGACCCAACCTCGCTCCTTACAGTCAGATGCACTACACTACCACATATGTCGGTAGGCCGGTCGGGAAGTTAGAGCCTGTCTCTGTTGGGACGTTGCCCCGTTGGTGGGGGAGATACCAGATTGGAAAACCCCGCTAGGCGCCGGTAGGTCAGCGCCGGATCTTGTTATCCAGCGGGGGGAAAGATCACCGCCACCTCGACGAAAAACATGCACTACATGTACGGGACTATAACCTTAGTAGTTGGCGCACCTGGAATCACTAATCGTCGCCCAGTTTCATCTTTAGTTACGTATGAGCGTCGAACTTATTTCCACTGTTTATGGACTTCAATTCCCATCGTGACTACGACGAATATGCGGGTGACGGACTAAACACACGGCGGGGTGGAGAAGCAAGAAATGAATTTTTAGTGTTTCTCACTTTCCACCACATGAACATTAGTACTGTGTGTGGTGCTGTTCTAGAAAGAAATGTGTACCACTGTGCGATCAAATCTAACTGGTTACCTACTTTTTACTGTTTCGGATTCACACAAATATTATATCGTTCCAGTTTAAAAATAAAGAAGTCTAGCCGGTCAGATAGCCAAAATAGTTAGGGCAGTAGTGCCGTAGCGGTCTCGAACCAGAAGACCGCAGGTTCGAGTTCCGCCTCGGGTATGGGCGTATTTGCGTATGTCTTTATGTGTTTCCCGTCCTTTCATCCCTCACCATCGTCATCTCATCGTTCACACTCCCAAGGCCAACAATCGCGGGATAAAAATCGGAATTCAACCTAAATGATGTCCCCTTCCCCAGAAAGGTACTTGCACCTGCTGAAGCAGGATGCACGCGTGGTCCGAGTTCGCGTACACAAAAAACATCAGCCCATATTACAGTACTGTCTACTCAACTACAGAATAATTATAAATATATTTTAATAATACTTATTTTGCAGGAAGTGTGTTTCGTAATGTACAAGGGTCGAAGAAAAACATTAATGTTTTTGAACATTCTGTTAAAAATGATTTTTAGTTTCCTAACACTCAACTAAAGCAGCACCCAGAACGTACAATAGAATTAGGCTCATCTCTGTCATTTGCCAACTACTTCACTTAATGTCATTCAAAGGTCTATTCAAAATTCTGGATGGCAAGTCCTCCTCCTTAGGACGTAATCGCTCCAAATGCCCGGTGGCGCTCGCTCGGCCACAGGCGAAAATCATAGGGACGTTTCTGGAGGCAAGTGGCCGGTGCGCGACCCCGGAGGCGGCGGCGGCGGCGGCGGGCGGAGGACGCTCAAAGGGCGTGAAGAGCACGGGGGCAAGCTGGGCGTGCAGGGCGAGGGGGGCGGCGGCGAGCGAGTGCGCCCGACCGCGCCGAAAGCGGCCTCCAATTACGAACTCGGCCAGAGGCCCCGGTGACCCAAAACAAAACAGGGACAGCGCCTTGGCCGCGCGCGCCCAGCGCCCGCCGCCCACTCGCCCACCGCGCCCTCGAAGGTCCGCCAACTGCCCTTCCACCCTCCAGCCCCCACCTCGACCGACGGCGCCACTCGCTAGGTCGTTGGCTGTGCAGGTGCCCGGCAGACCGCCGACGACTCCCGCTGACTGCCCGCGACGCCCGATGCAATAACCTCGAAACCACCTTGGAAAAAAATCTGTCCGCCGGGCAGACCGCCCCCCGCAACATTCTCTGCTTCAGCCCGTGGCCGTCCGTTCAGTTGCGTGAGCTGGGGCATTCCTATCGTGTGATTCAGTTACTGTATTCCTCCTTCACTCTCTTCCCTCTTCTAAGTCTTGTGCCTGTCTTCTCTCTGTTTCTTCTCTATCTCTCTCTTGCAGCATCCTAAGCAATTAATTGGTTACCTCTTTATTGTCATTCTATCAATAATCTTTCTTCTTTGATCGTGTCTCGTACCTCTTTGTCATCATTCGTCAGCTTTCACTTTCTTCCTGTATCTCTATCATCTCTATTCAGTCTGCACGTGTAAAATCCTCCCTCTTTAGATTCGGGTTCTTTGAAAAAAACTGTTAAATCCGCTCGGTTTGTCAACACGACCTTTCGGAAATCACTTCCCGTTTCCCACCCTCCCCTCCCGCTCCTTTCCCCTAAGTACGTCTCTCCGCTCACTGTGTATTTATCGAGATGAAGGGCGGTGGCTCCACAGGGCGGGAAGAGTGCTTGGCGCAATTGATATACTTCAGTTCGTTAAGCTCGCAAAACAAAGGATTGGGTTCTGCGTCGGTGCGATTGAGAACGAATCGCGTCGAAGGCTTGCAGGGAACTGCATGAGCGGAGGGCGGCATAACGGCAAGCGGGGTGCGGAGTAAGCGAGGAGGGTGCGAAGAGGATATGTGATGTGGTAACTGAGGCGGGGGAAGCGGAGTTGGAGAGTGAAAGCAACGGTAGGAGCAGGAAGCTGACGGTTACGTGGCAGAAGCGACGCGAAAGTTTGTAAGGGCTGGGTGGAGACGGGGTAGGAGACGGCGAGAGACTGGCTAAAAGCGCGAGGAGAACAGCGAGAGACGGCGAGGAGAGGGCGAGGAGCCGGGCGAGGAACGGGCGAGGAGCCGGGCGAGGAGCCGGGTCGAGGAGCCGGACGAGAAGGCGGGCGGAGACGGGCGCGGAGGCGGGGAGGAGACGGCGAGAGCGGCGGAGCCGGCGAGGAGACGGGGGCGGAGCGGCGCGGAGGGGGCGAGAGGTGGGCGAGGAGTCGGACAGGGAGGCGGGCGAGGAGACGGGCGAGGAGCCGGGCGAGGAGCCGGACAGGAGGCCGGGCGGAGACGGGCGCGGAGGGGCGAAGGAACGGGGAGGAGGCGAGCGAGAGACGGCGCGGAGCGGCGAGGAGGCGGGTGAGGAGGCGGTGAGGAGCGGGAGGGCGGGCGAGGAGACGGGCGAGAGCGGCGAGGAAGCCGGCGCGGAGACGGGCGCGGAGACGGGCGAGGAGAAGGGCGAGGAGACGGGCGAGGAGGCGGGCGAGGAGCGGGGAGGAGGCGGGCAAGAGGCGGGCGAGGAGGCGGGCGAGGGTGTTGAGGAGCGGTCGAGAGGCGGCGAGATGGGGGCCGGGCGGAGGCGGCGAGGAGCGGCGAGGAGCGGGCGAGAGGGGGCGAGGGAGGCGGGCGAGGAGCGGCGAGAGGCGGCAGGAGGCGGGACGAGGAGGCGGCGAGAGCCGGCGAGAGGCGGCGGGAGACGGGTTGCGGCGGGGCCGTCGTGGTTGACGTGGGGTGGACGTCGCCGGGCATTGCCCGCGCAGATTGTGGCGAGGGCGGCGAACCAAGCAGTGAGGCGGCGGTGCGATGGCGGGAGGTGAGGATGCGCCCGCAAAGGTACAGAGGGCGGAAACTGCGCCGGCGACGGCGATGTACAATGCACCAGAAGGAAGGAAAACAGGGAGAAATGAAATGTTAATTTATTTTGTTTGGTAATATAATGTTGTTTTGTATTGGTATGAAGGTGTGTTAGGATATGGAAGTTGCTATTAAATCACATAAAACATATTGTTTTCGTTGAAAAGCAGAATAGCATTTGAATGAAGTCTTTGAAGACAATTTAAGGACAAGCAGTTGCAATGTTTGTGAGTCATGTTCCAATTAAGAGATTAAATTTAATTGTTTTAACTGGACCCAAAAATGTATTATACTATAAATACAAGTCATGAGCAATCAGATCAATATATTTTATGCAGCGCATTTCATCCCACATTTTGAGTGTGAAGTGTTATATTAACTGCCGGAACCCACACGTCCTAAACATCAAACACTGTGCGGAGGCGGCTCGGTCGACGCGGCGCTGCGTGACTAGGAGGAGGGAGGAGGGGGTCCTAAGTGATGCGGCAACGGGAGCAGGGAAGGGAGGGGATGGCGCGCATGAAGGGCGGGGCGGGAAGGGTGGGGCGGCGTAACAGGGGGGCCTGGGGGAAGCGGAAAGAGACAGAGTGAAGGAGTGAGTGAGAGAGAGAGACACACGCCGCTGCGGGTGGTCGATAAGTCTGATCGACAGGCGGCGCGGCCGCTGCCCGACCCCGCAGCTGTTTCCTCCCTCCGGCTGCACCCCGCGCCCCGCCGTGTACACACATGGCCCGCTCGCCCGTCACCGGCCGGCCGCCCTTACCAACCCCTCCGCGCGTCCTCCAAGGCCTCACCTGCGCCTTCCTCTGCTCTGCCTCGCGTCCCTCGACGTCCCTTGGCTCCTCGCGGCTCTCAATCCCGTCCTTCTCGTTGCGTGCACTTCGCTCTCGACGTCGTCCATCCGAGGAAGACACCCATTCCTTTAATGTTCTCCATAATCCGCTGGTTCTGATCCGTCGTTTCTTAAAAGTAGTTACTGCTTCGCATTTGCGCTTTATACTTCTAATTGAAACCTGTCAAAAAATGTACTTTATGGAGTGCTTCGTCACGTCGTTCATATTATCCGGCCATCTATCCTCCCTTATCCTCGTTGTTCCATTATCGTTATCCACCTCGACATATGGTAATAACGACCCCCGCTGCGGCCGTTTCGCCCACCCCCTCGTTATACTTCGTTGCCGAACCACAATCCTGATTCCGACATCCCTCCTCCGACGAGACCTACCCTCGCGCGTCGTGCGTTCACTCTCTGAAATGAGAGCTGTTCATGTTGCATCCCGCTCCCGTATTTTGTATTTGCTCTGGCAACCCTCTTTTCTCAGCGAAATAACTTCGTCTACTTCGCTCAGTGGTCAAATTCACAGAGATAGCAGAGAAAGAATTCAGGCACATTATTTTCTATTTAACATCGCTAGAATTGTTTTTATGATTTTTGTGCAAATATTTATAAAACTTAATTTACATCTAATAATGTATATACTAATTTAAATTATTTTTTTCGTAGAAGTATTCGGTAGAAACAGAATTGTTTCATCCGTACTTGTAGCTGAAGGTTTGAGACTACTCGTATGAGGGCACGCCCTCACGTTCACCATCTTTTACTCTACCACCTAAACTCTTTATAACCCCTATTGTCATTGCGACAAATTGATTATATATTCCCCCTACATGTACCTAAGGAAAAGTATGTATCGCTTTTGCATCATGTCTTTCACTATCCCATTTCATTCTCTCTCAAGATATGAGAGAATGGCGCACCTGAACTTTTGGACCTTCAACGAATATATTTTACAGAGTTTTTGAACATTATAATCAGTGTCAGGTTAAATGTAGGAAAGTCACTGCCCAGTCACAGTATGTGCCTTTAGCCTTCTTTCTTCATTGCATTATTGATATTGTTTTTATATTACTCTAAAATATACGAGTTCCCAATTGGTTAAATTAAGCCTTTTAAATATTCAGTATATATTAATCATCAATCATTATTAAACAGTAGTTTTCATTCATCGCCAATTCAATATTTTTTACTCTCTCGCCTAAGAAAATAATGTATGAAAATTCTGTGGAGGAAATGTGCAACTTTTCGTTAGAAAAATCTACTGTGGGCCATTGATTACAACAATGTGGTCAGATCGTGTTTCTATCTGTAGTAAATTACTTTCTCTAACAATATGTGTAGTTAAAATTCATGTTTTGTCGTCCTTGATACCGTACAATCGATTCACGGCCAACGTCTGTCCGTCCGCCCGTCTGCCCGACCCTTTGTCTGACCGACCGACCGTCTGTCTGCCTGTGGTTAGCACTAGCACCTAAACCGTTTAGACCGTTTTCTACTAAACTGATATTGTCCGATCGATCTGAACGAACTTGAGTCTCTGCGAGTTTGAATCGGATATTTTGATTCATGAAGATAATGTTCATGAAGTCTTAAAATATTTTGAACATTTCCTCCAACATGTGTTCATTTTTTCGAAAATATAAGTAGCTTGAGTTAGTTACTTGAAATGTAGGTTGTTTTTAAACTATTATTTCCCATGCACAGATCACATTGTCCCTGAACACCCTTCATTTCATCCCATACACAGATCATTCAGCTGTGTGAATTTCCGAAAAAGTTACCAAAGTTAGAAATAATGCGAGAAAGTATGTGCTCTTGTAATACCATTATTATAATGCTAGTGTAATAACTATCAACAAAATTCTATATTCCTTATCACTAGTTCCTCAGTCAGTATATAGAAATAGCTTGAAAATTAATGTGTGGTCCGAA